TGGATACAGTCTACAGAGTCCTTTTTCAGGGACATTATCTAATCCTTTGCGATCACCCATCAGGTGGGACTATTCCTCGATCCTACAGACGAGGAAACTGAGTCTCTAAGAGTGAAAATTCCCCGTGGTTAAGATAACAAAATAGCTACTGGAATTCAAATCCAGAACTCCTAGGCACAAAACTTTTTCATGATTCTACTTCAGGAAATTTCTTCCAGGAAAGAATTTCACTGAACATGCTTCAATCAGCCTAACAGGAAAACCGCAGTTAATTGAGATATACGCGACTTAGAGTGTGTCCTCCAGCCAGCGGCATCGACTTCATGTGAGAGATTCTTAGACATGCTAAACCTCGGACCCCAAACTACACCTCCTGAACCTGTACGTGCATTTTAAGGTCAAGGCAGCATGTATGTACCAAAGGGTTGAAGAAGTCCTGATGGAAAGCCATGCTTTGGAGTCAGACTGGCTGGGCTTAAATCCTGCCTTTGTCACTTCCTAGTTGTATGACTTGAGCAAATTGTTTTGTAAACTTCAGTCTCCTTTCTATAAAATAATAATCTTAAGCACCTGCTTTCCAAGGTTATTGTAACTATTTCACAGGTTTATTCACATAAAGCGTTTAGCAAATCACTGGCTTATAGTAAGTGCTCAGTAAATGTGAGCTACTTTTATTATCATTGAAAACACCATTCTAATCAGCCAGCCAGATGGCCTATGAATTCCCTTTGTGAAAAGCAAAATTCTCTACACGCACGCGTGCATGCGCACGCACAGCAAAGAGCGAGCCGACGCCATTGCCCTTCAGTTGCTCTCAGAGCAGTGAGTACCGGAGGGCAGAAACAGAAAAGCAGACGACCAGACTTCTCCAACAGCAATCTCCCCATGGAGCCCACACTGTCACTGGCTAGATGGGCTGTTTGATGAGGTGTCACAAGAAAGAGGAACAGTTCTGGAGCTTGTTAACTAACTGATGAGTCAGGGGCGACAGCGACTGAAGCGTGAAGGTGGGAATACACAAACAAGCTGAGCACGGCCAGGCCTGCCAGGGCACCCTCCCCCTCTTTGGTCCCATGAGAGCACAGAGATGTCTGCACTGGGTTGATGTGGAGGGTCTCAGGGAGGACTCGGGTCCTTCCTGGGGCAACAGGAGGCAAGGGGCTGAGGGAATGACCAAGCCAGGCTCTGTGGGAAAATGCTGGGCTCTAAGTGTGTAGGGGCAAGGGAATGGATTCCCAGTTTGGGGGAAGGAGAGGAATGACAGGACAGATGCCAGGAGTCAGGAGTACACTGGCGAGGGCCCGTCGAGATATTTACCGTAAGCCAGACTGACGTAGGGCCAGAGCGCCGGTCGTGTCCCAGGTCATGGTAACAACAATAACACCTGTGTCAAGTGCTTGTCTCGGCATTTCCTGCGCATTAACTCACTGCACCCTCGCAAGTGTATGGAATCACTACTATCCTCCTGGTGAGAACACCGAGGCAGAGAGATGTTAAACGTTTTGCCCAGCGTCACATAGCTTGCAGTCGGCAGAGTCACATAATTCAGTTCTCAGAACCAGTGCTCTGAACTATCAAACGCAATGGGCTATCAGCTGGTCTTCAATGTCCTTTTTTGGGGAAAACTGATGTGTGAGTGGGTCTGTTTGTCTTAAGGAACCTGAGGGAAAAGTGGGGATGTGGCCCTGTCTTTGAGAAAGTGCCCATCTGCTCTGATTTCCCTTTGTCTCAAGGTCTGTCCTCATGGGGAGACACGAAGGGCCCGTTCTGCACTGCACAGAGCCGGTTTCTGAGAACATGGATGGGCAAGGCACTGGATGGCCACAGAGAGCTCAGGGGCTCATCGCTACCTGTTGGAGACATAGAGAGGGCCAAACCACGGAGAGGCAAAGGGGGTGCTGTGGCCACCTGTCTTCTCAGCCAATGAAACCAAGATGGCAGTGGGTTGGCATCATCTCTCCTGTTGCTAATTTCCTCTGTGCCTTACATTTTTGTGAATTTCCCCCCAAAATTTGGCTTTAAGGTACCTCACCTACTTACCTTCTCCCATTTATCTCCATGCTTCTTCAAGACTCCTTTTTTATGTAGATCGCAGATCTGGTCCCAAATTAAGAAGAAGCTAGGGCCAGCCAGGTGGTGTGGTGGTTGAAGCAGTTGGATCCCACATGGCCAGCTGAGTGGTTTGGGTTCTAGACCCGGTGGTTTGAAAAACATACCGGGCATGTCCACTTGCTTGCCCCAGGACTCAAGAGGAGAACAGAGGAGAAGAGACTATGGTGTGGTCACTGCCCCCCCCCAGGGGGGGGCTTTCTCACTTTCTCTCTCTTTTTCTCTATCTCTGGGGAATTCACATGCCCTATGGAAAAATTTAAAAAAAAAAAATAAAAGAAGCAACTTTGACCAAATTTCATCCTTTCTAGTATGTGGTTAGAAATGTGCCATGACCAAGGCTTTTCCCATGAGCAAGGAGATTGTGAAGGTTGGGTAAGACTGGCTGAGAGGCTTAAGGTCTTACACAGCAGTGTAGAGAGACTTGGACTTGGCTTGGAAGATATCTCTATAAACCTCAGTTCAGGTACCTATTCTCAGTGGGATCTCAGCTGTGACTTCCCCTCTTTCAGTGTGAATGTCTCTTCCTTCTGTAAAATCCTTTACTTACCCCAATTGACTCAGGGGCCCTGCATGATCTAGGTAGGCCCTGATAACTTCTCCAGCCTCATTTGTCACATTTCTTCATAAATTAAGATTCTATGTGTACAAATAACAGATGAACAGCAGCTTAAGTCATAAGGACATCTATTGTTGCCTTACTGAGAAGTCTGAGAGTGTTCTAGGGCTGCTTCAGAAGTAGCTTGATGTTCGGATATTGGGTCCATGTGTTTCCTCCAGTTCTCATGGCCTTTCTCTTGTTATCACAGATGACCGCCAATGTCCCGGGCATTTCACCCATGCATGATAGTGATGAATTCTCTTCATGTGCTTCTTTGCTTTAATCCAGAGCACCCTAGAAGACTTCTTCTGACATATTTTTCAATAAGACTGTGTTGTGTAGCATCACTCTAGCTGCAAGGGAGGCTAATAACACGTGCATCTTCCTTTTCTTGTATGTTACAAGACTAATATGGATAGGGATGGTAAATAGCTGTTGGATGGCCAAGCAACATTAACAGCTTCATCCCTAACCAAAATTCTGTTCCTATAGCACACCAATCTGCTCAATGTTCCCCAAAAAGAGCATCTAATTTTAGGCTTCTGCGTAATTTCATATGCTAGTGCTCTCTGCCTAGAATGCTTTTCCTCCCCTTTATCTCCCAAACCCCTACTTACCTTCAAAGATTCAGCTCTAGGGTACCTTTCTTTACTACCACTCCCACTCTCAGGACTGGGTTAGATGGACCTCCTCTCTATGAACAGAAAGTGTCTTTATTAAGCTTTTACCTAGACTCTAGCACATAACCATATAAAAACAAGTACTCATTGAATGAATAAATGAAGTGTCACCACCTCACCGTTATTGTGAAGTTGAAAATGAGATTACAAATGAACAGTGATGTAATTGTTAAACTATAACTTCAGCTAGCAATTGTGTATTCACCATGTGCCAGACACTGTTCTAAACATCTTAACACCTAACTCATCTAATCCTAACAAAAACTCTGTGAAGTAGATCAATAGATTATTTTTTTTTAGAGGTTTTTGCTATAGGGCAAGTGCACTCGCCAGAGAGACAGAAAGCAAGAAATCACCCCCGAGGGAGGATGGTCACGCCGCAGTCCCTTCTTCTCTATTCTCCTCTTGGGATCTTGGGCACACGTGCACATGCGCCCGGCGTGAGTTTAAGCCTCCGGGTCTGGGACTCGAACCGTGGTTGACTATGTGGGAGTTCAGCAACATAGCCATTATGCCAACTGCTGGTCCCAATAGATGATCATAAACTAGACTTTATTAAAATAACAAACGATATTCAAATCTCAGCGATTTAAACACAGATTTATTTCTCATCTAGGTTCAATGTCCTTTGTGAGTTGAAGACACCTCTATTCATCATAATCACTCAGGAACTCAAGCTAACTGTCCTAAGGTTACAACATCCAAGACACCTGGCCTGCTTCTTTGGTCAACTTGGTAGTGGAAGAGAGCATGGGAGACCCACAGCAGCTCTCAATGCTTCTGCCTAGCAGTATGCACGTCACTTATACTTCATGGCTCAGGGAAAGTCCCATCATTATAGCCAAGTCAAGGCATTTTATGTCCCCACGTAATATATATCGAATGTTTGCACTCTACTACAGAAACAGAAATACTGGACAGTAAAAAAGCATGGAGAGCAACTGTGGATACCAGAGATGGCACAGAAAGAGGGTGAGAAATGGCATAGGGTGAAAAGGAGGGAATGGGGGGGGGATATAAGAAGCACATACAAAAGAGTATGTGTGACTAAAGGCATTTTTGGTGAGCTCTATGACATAAGTGCTCATTACTTTTACTTAGGAGCTGAAGAAACTGAGGCAGAGAATGGGGCCAAAGTATTGGGTTGTTGGAAAAGTCAAGATGCATTTTTCTATGTAAAAACACTTCATGACTGGGGCCAGCAGGTGGTGTGGTGGTTATGGGCACTGGATTCCCATATGGCTGACCATGGTTCGAGTCCCAGACTTGGTGGCTTGCTTTCTCACTTTACCTCTCTCTCTGTCTCCTCTGGTCAAATGGAAAAGATAAATAATAATAACAAATAAAATTAAATAAATCAATTAAAAAAAACCCACACATCATGACTTTTCTGATGACCTAATCATTTGCTCATGGTCACATAGCTGGTTAAGTGGTAATACAGGATTCAAACTTGGCTTTGGTAAATTAGGACACAGGTTATGAAATGTTTGCTGTAAATGGTCAGAGGGAATGTTTTAATCTTTGTAGACCATGTGGTCTCTCTGGCAGGTACTTAGTTCTATTGTAGAGCAGAAGCAGTCAGAGACAATATGTAAAAGAATGGGCGTGGTCGTATGCCAATAAAATTTTATTTATAAAAGTATAGGGTGGGCTAGATTTGACTGTTGGGCCATAGTTCGATGACTCTTAAGAGACTCCTTGTTCAGGATCACAAGGTTACCTTGAGCTCTGAAAATTGTGAAACGAGCAAAAATGTGAGTTATAGCCATTTTCTACTAAATATTTGCTATATTACCTCCCCAGATGGTGAGAGTTAAATGATTTCACAGACTTTAATGGGTCACTGAGCTTTCATCCAGCCAAGGTTAAGGGTAACCAGCTTCTCTTCAGAGCCTGGCTAATTATTACTGTACAAGTTTAAAGGGAATGACAGATAGCTAATTTTCTTACTAAAAATGACAACAGGCACCATACCAAGGACTAAGCAAGCCACTATTAAACCCCCATTAACTGTGTGGGGTCATTCCGATGGCACAGTCACCGATGGGACAATTGTTCTGCTGGTCTGTGCTAACCAGCAATTGAAATCACTGGGAGGCTCTGGGCACCAAAGCAGGTTTTTTTCTGGGCCACCTAACCCAGACCTTGTTTTTCCAGCTGACACTCTGCCTGTGTCAGCTAATTCCTACTTTGGAAAATGCATTCCAGGGCTAATAAAGACTTTAAAGTCACGCTATTTTCCCACCATGTTATTAAAACCCAAATGGCTCTGCTTATCCCCAACCTGACCAGGAGAGTCCCTGGCCAGCTTAGAAATTGCCCGAATGTCACTGAATCGGTTTCCAATTGGAAAGATAAGGCTTGTGGTTAATTTCATTCCATTACTACTTGGTTTCTAAATGATCCAGGTTCTACGATGACAAGGCAGTGACTTAGGGAAGATCAGAGAAGAACATGAAGACCACAGTTTTACTAGAACGGGCATATATTTGAAAAGCTGTAAGGCAGTATTCATCTTTGCCAATTACTCACTAGCTGTGGGAAGCTGGGCAGGCTAGTTCGCCTCACTGAGCCTCAATTTCCACATGTACACAATAGTGACAATGAGAGCAGTCTCTCCGTGTGGCTGTGAAGGTGGCCACATGTAGGTGTCACTCAGCCCCTCCCTGAAGGGCAGTGAATGTGGAGGATGGAAGGCCCTAGGTCTGGCCAACCCAGAAATAACTGAGAACTGGCTCTGGGAAACTAGCAGAATCAAATCCAGGCTGGGCCGTCCAATATAATTGAAAATTAATCAGGAGAAACATTGACTAGCCAGAACAATTAGAGTGAGCTAATGGAAACTGCCTACTCTGAGCCTTGTTCATTCTGGAATGGCAACCAGTGCTCCCCAAGCTGATCCACAGCTGCCTCAAGGGAGGAGGGCGACGTGGGGACAGAGAGAGAGTGAGCCTCAGTTTGGCCTGCCTGTCTATCTTTACCATCAGTTCTCACGGACACATTGCTGAGCTCACCAGAAGTGGCAGTGAGGCCAACCGAAGGTGCCGGGAAAGACCTGCAGGTATTTCCAGCAAAGCAGGGCATTGCAGTGCAGAGTAGAACGAAACCTTGCCCTGGGCCCCAGCTCTCCAGTAGCAGAGCTGCATCCAGAGGGCAGGACCAGAGAAACGTGGATGGGATTTCTAAGCTCAACTAGACCTCACGCCTCCGTGTTTCAGATAAGAAAACCGAGGCCCAGGGATGGATGGTTAGCGATTTGCCTAAGGTCGTCTAGACAGAAGGATTGTGGTTAGAGTCCTAGGAACTCAACTCAGGTCTCTTCCTGCTGTTTTCTCTACCTTTCCATCCCTTTGGAAATGGGCCAGACACTGGAGCTGGAAAGGCTGGGGCTATTTTTCTAACAGAGCAGGGACAGTGTAAGGTCAAGGAATCACATTTCCCACTATGATAATACCCACACTGGGGCAAGGGACCCTCCCGTTCCGTTCACTAAAGACTATATTCAAGTATCCCCACCCAGAGAGAAGGGTTAACTGTAGATCCAGAAGACTGAGCAAAAACACTCTTCTTGCCTGCTTTGCTTTGTGGAAATTTTTCTAATCCTAGCCTGCTATCTCCTGGCTGTGTGTCCTTGGGTAAGTTACTTACCTACTCTGAGTTTTGATTTCCTCACCTGCAAAACTGGGGTGGTGGTAGCACTGAGAATCTTGTAAGCTGGAAAGTGTTAGATAAATGGAATATTTTGACCAAGAGGATTTTATTTGTAAAGCAGATTGAGTCAGAGAATTTCTGGTCAGTAGCAGGTGTCTCCATTCCTTAAATAAGGGTAGAGAAAAAAAACACCAGGTCACCATTTTACAGAGCCTGGGCCCTCCTTCCTGTTTTAACAACCTCCCTGTAAACAGTCTGGGGGAGAGAAAGACTCCTCCACCAAAATCTGCAGTGAGTTGCATTCCGGGCAGGCTCACCAATCATTAGCCAAGCGATCTTGTTTATCCTGCCCCAGCCCGGAATTTGGCCTCTTACAAAATCCCAGCTACAAAAGAACAGGTTGGACCAAAACTATTTAGTGAGTGAAGGAAGGCTTCCAGGAGAATGACTGTGGGGGTGTTTGTTAAATAGACACCAGGCCGGGGCCCACCTGCCAGGCCCCAGCTGACCTTTTCACTGACATCGATTTGAGAGTTTGAGCTATGATCTGATCCCCAGAGGGGACATATCCAAGATTTGGATCATTGTCAATCCCCAGTCAAAAGTTTGGTCTTTTCTGTCCATGAAGGCAATGTTGACTTAAATTATTTGCCCTATGGAAGGATTAATATTTGTTGGGCACCTTCCAACTTCCTCAGAAGTTCTCTAGGAAAATTTTACAGAAGCAGAAGGTAGGCTTCCAATCCATGAGTCGCTGGCCCGAGGTCATAGAGCTGGGAAGGTGGAGGCCACAGGGGCAGCTGCTGTTTGTGTCTGCCGCCAGACTTTGCCTTCTCCTCTTCCTTGGGATGACAAGCCCAGCTGCCTGTCCACCTGGGCTGAGCACAAGACCCAGACTAATCCAGACAACAGACACACCCTCCTGGCAAAGCCAAAGTGGAGCATGTGACCAAGTAGAGTCAATCAGACATTGTTTTGAGCATTTGACATCCAAATGAGCAAAAGTTACATGGAATTACCTTCAGGAAATGTTCACAAGGTATATATGAAACATAAATGAATTTCATGTTTAGACATGGGTCTCATTCCTATGAAAATATTCAAAACTGGAACAATCTGAAATCTGAAATCCATTGTCCCAAGGGATGCTGAACCTGTAATAACATCACCACCTGCCCTTCACTGAGAGCTTTCTGTGAACTGTCACTTAGTGACCAAAAGCTGAGTGAGTGAGTGCCATAACTAAGTCCCACGTCACAGAAGTGTGGACTCTAGTGATCTGGACGTAGCTGTGGCAGTCAGTGCCAAAATAGGATTTGAACTGAGTTCTCTTGACTCTAGAGTCCATGGGTGCAACTGCTCAGCCATGCAACTTTCTTTTGTATGTTAGCTTTACTGAGTACTTGAAGACTCTAACTTTAAAATATGCTGTCCTAATCTACCATTCATTCTATATTGAGCTCCCGATCTATGTCAGCTTCCAAACTGGCACTGAAGTTACAAAGATAACTAAGATTTGGCCCTCACATGTGAGGAGCTCGTGAAATAGTTGACTCAGGCCGTGGGGAGGTTTGACTGACCAGGAACAGCCTGGATCAAGGTGAGCTGAGGGCAGCAGAATCCAGGTGCCCCTTGGCCTTTGATAGGTTACATCCCAAAAAACCCACTGTAAATTGAAAATGTTGTGAACTGAAAACATATTTAAAACAGGAGATTGAGGGGCAATTTAGAATTGCACTTGAGCTTCTCTGCTCCTCTGGGATAGATCAGCACTGTATCTATTAGGAATGTCTTTGGCTACAAGTAATGAAAAACATGACTCAGTAGTTTCCTTTCTTCTTTATTCCTCTCTCTCTCCCTCTTTCTCTCTCTCTCTCTCTCTTTTTTAAAGAGAGTTTTGCCTTAGGGGAAGCAAGAAAACCAGACACAGGGAAAGGGAAAGTGAGAAATCTCCCCTCCCCCAGGGGAGACAGTCACACTGCAATCCTTTCTTCATTTTCCTCCTGGGATCTTGGGCATGGACACACATGTGCCCAGTGTGAGTTTGAAGCCACTGGGTCTGGGACTCAAACCACCATTGGCCATGTCGGAGTCCAGTGACATAACTGCTATGACATCTGCTGGCTCCTATTCTCCCTATTTCTAACAAGACTTCCAGAATGGGCAACCGATAATCTTGGTTCAACAGTTTACTAATGCCAGGGCTAGTGACTCTGATTCCCTTGGCTTCTCCTCTCATGTTTGTCACTCAGAATCACATAGTGCCCATCATGTCTGTGCTTAAGGTAGAATGAACCGTGGGAGAAGGTGTATTTTTTCCCTGGTATGCAAAAGGTTTCTCCAAAGATCCCACCACAGACTTTCTCTTAAGCTCTGTTGGTCAAAACTGTGTCGCATGATTGCAGGGGATGCTGGGAAACTATTTGTCACCATCAGCTCAGACCCATAGTGATTTATCACTGAGGCTGACCTGGTGCTGTTGGCAAGAAGAAACGGGGACTGAACGCTAGATAGGAAATGAACAGTGTGTCCTATGATCATCACAGGATCTCCAGTATAGCTGTCTTCCTCCTATTGCCATCATGGCTAACACTTAGTGCAGGTCCCATAGTAAGTATTTACAGATATTTCGACACTAGGTCTCAGAATTACCCTAGGAAGTAAGTGCTCTTATTGCCCCACCTTAGAGATAAAGGAAGGAGGTTACAAAAGGTCAAGTGGCCTGCCAACTTCACGCAGCTCCTAGGTGGGAGAACTGGGATTTGGATCCAGACTGCACGTTTCCACAGCCCACATTATTTACTGCTTCAAGAAACTGTCCCCAGAGAGATGGAGCTTTCTGGGCCTGAACAACTCAGTGTCACAGCCTTGACCACCCATAGCCTCTCTAAGGCCTTTTGGAATTTTGGGAGGGCCATGCCTTCATGATTCCCATTGTCCCCATCTTCTCCGTGCTGGCCTGACACCTATTTCACATCCAGGTGGGCTGGAAACTGAGCCTCCTTGTTAGTTTCCACAAAATATCAACTGACAGCAAGCATTTACTTAGCCGTGTACTGTAACCGAACATCCTGGGGCCAACGAAGGATCACCTTCCACATAGCCTTCGGTTAGCTTGCTGACCTCAAGTTGTCTCTTCTGTGTCTTCCTTCCCAGAATTCTCCAGGAATTCCAAATTCTTCTCCTTCTGTGATGTAAAGCAGTTGGGCATCTTCTCTCCAATGTGGCTGGCATGAAGCAGCAGTGGGTGTCAGGCTAGGTGGAAGCTTGGCAGACGGTGAGTCCTCCATGTTCTCGCTGGTATGCATCCCACATGGGTGGCCTGGTCTAGTCCAGCGTCTGGACTGCTGCTTACTGAGGGTGACAGAGCTCAACTGGCCTGTGGCCGTCCATTGCCAAAGTCTGTGGTCCCAGTGTTTGCCTCTGGCTCTATAGTCTATCACAACAGCCTTTGTCAGACAGAGTCTCCGTATCCCTTGCTGGGGTCTCTGGGAACTTGCAGAAAACATACACACTGCATGCTGCCTCCTCCTGCGGAGGCTGGCCTGTCACGCCTGCACCAGCTGTCCGTGGCCTGTGCAACTCTACCCTGGAGCTGTGCAGCAGCTGGCCACATGCAGGGAGGCGTGCCACAGCTCCTTGCCCCCACCCCACCCCATGTTCTGAAGAGCCTCTTTCCCACCTCGGTGTTTCCACCATGCCCTCTTCCAGGTTCTTGCCTGGTTTAGAAAAACCAGCTTTGCGTGTGGTTGGTCTCATCATTCCACCACCATCTTCTTAAGGAGCAGGACTCCACTCTTCTTCGCCTACTCTCAGCTCTGGACTTCCTGCAAGTCAAACCCTTTCTATCCTCGGGCCTTCACCCTGCCCATGGCGGACAGGTGACCGGCATAGGACAACAACATACTCAACAACTTGTCAATCAGTCACGGGAGATACTATTTTCATTTTGATTCCTTTTCCAAACCCTCCTCGGCAGAATGAACGGCCCCACTGAACAGTTGCCACTCTCCTGAAAAGGCAGTCAGGGTGAGAAATGACAGTCCCCCTCTGTTACATACATTCAATGCTGATTATTATGATGTTAATTATTCATCTAGTCAGTCACAGAAGAAAGGCGAAACACAAACAGTGCAATTAAGAGATGCAATTAGTGTGGCCATGTAGGTCACCTCCTCTTCCTGCGCCTTGGTGAGCCGAGCCCTGCTGTCTGTCAGTGTCGCCACCGGCACACCGCAGCCATGGTTCCTGCACGCTACTCTCGCACTCCTCCGAGGTGTCCATTTTCAATTTTCCCCTCCAAACAACTCGTCAAAGAAATGGCAATTCAAACATCTGAGTGCCAATTTTACCTCTTCCGACAAAATACATAAAATGATGATAATATGCGGTATGAACCCTTTGACAGCAACTTGGCAGTGAGATGCACGAGAGCTAGTAAAACATCTTCATACCCTTTGACCTCCAGTTTATCCCCAAGAAATCATTCCTGAAAGGAAAAACTGCCACATACAGGTTCGTTATAGCGATATCTGTAATAGCCCCAAATTGGCAACCTAAAAATCAAATGACAGGGGAAAGGTGAATGCAAATACAGTACCTCAAAGCAGTGTAATATTATGCAGTCATTAAAAGTGACGGGAAGATTATGTGGCAACAGCAAAGTGCTTGTAATTGGATGTTCGGTTTGAAAAGGCAGGATACAAAATTGTCTTTCTACAAGTTCCCCTAAACCGCCCATGCCCTGTGTTAATTAAATCCTGACCAGCTGGTTTTCCCTTTCTCTCTTCCTGGTCCAGCTCAGTTCAGGCCTCATCGTGGCTAGCAGGCATTTGGTGGAAGTCCCTTGAACCAGCACACTCCCTAGATAATGTGTTTTGGAGGACAGGGACTCCATCGTATACCCTGTTGGCTGACACTTAACAAAGGCTGACATTCATTGAACTGAAGAATCGATGACAACAATTTCATCTATTGTTTATTGAGTACCTGCTATGTAGCAAGCATCGTGATTGGCATTTCTTCCATATTATTTTACATTATTTAATTCTGAAATAAACCCATGTAGTTGATATGACTCTTCCTTAGCACAGATGAAAACTGGAGCTCAGAGAAGTTGCCATATACCCAAGGCCAGTGAGGGGAGACAGGTTTTGAACCCAAGGCTGTCGGACTTCAGAGCCAGTGTTTTGTTCATTCACCATATATGGCATGTGTGTGCACCTGGGCTAATACAGGTATATGGAAAAATAAAAGTGGTTGGTTCATTTGGCTGATGAAGAGTAAGATGGTGGTTGATGTTTCCCCTGTCTTGTATAGACTGAGTTGGACCTCTGACTTCAGACGGCTCAATTTATGATTTTTTTTTTAACTTACCTTGGTGTGAAAGCAATGCATGTTCAGTAGAAGCTGTGCATGGAGTTCCCATATAACCGCTCTGACCTTCACCCGCAGTACAGTATTTAACGACGTGAGCTAGTCCACACTACATTAGGAAACAGGCCGGGGAGCAGGAAGTCCGACTGTCGGCCTCAGGTGGCATCTTGCTGACCCCCCGGCCTCGGCCCACTGTGCCGGAGAAGTGAACTGCTCAGCACCATGCCACGCAGCTCTGCCACTCGGCTTGCACTGCCCTTGGTGACAGCTGCACAGGGGTCGTCCTCAGTCCCATCTCATGGGAGGGGTGTACCGTGGGATTGCGGAGTGCACGGAAGCGCTCGTGTGCCGTGGCCACCACAGCCAAGACCAGTTAGGGTATAGAAGGTTGATGGTTTCGCTCTGGGAGTTGAGCTAGAATTCAGAGGATATTCATCAGACTGTTTAAAGCATATGTCTCATTACTGTACTGCTCTGCCTATGTGTTATGAATGAATGTTTTTAATAAATCCTATCATTGTCTTAGGACTAGTGCATAACTAAATTGCCTTTTTTTTTTTTTTTCAACTTACCTTGGTGTGGAAGCAATGCACATTCAGTAGAAGCTGTGCATGGAGTTCCCATATAACCGCTCTGTTCTTAGCAAGATGTCACCTGAGGCCGGCAGTCGGACTTCCTGCTCCCCGGCCTGTTTCCTAATGTAGTGTGGACTAGCTCACGTCGTTAAATACTGTACTGCGGGTGAAGGTCAGAGCGGTTATATGGGAACTCCATGCACAGCTTCTACTGAACATGCATTGCTTTCACACCAAGGTAAGTTAAAAATTGTTTGTGTTGAAAGCATGGCTTTAGTGACTCCACATATTTTAAATATAACCCAATTAAAAAAAATTTTTTTTGGCAAGTCTTCAAAAAACTCAAAAAAAAATCTAAAGTGACTAAAGCCCCTTTTACTCCCTGAGACATTCAGGCCCCCAGTGTCTGAGCTTGTATGGGACAGAGACAAACTCATGTCTCACCTCATCTGGGAGTATTCAGGGTACTTGGGGGTGAAAGCCATTCCTTGTATTGAAAATAAAATAAACTAGCTAGGGAAGAGTGGAAAATAAGATGAAAGGAGACAAAATGTAGATTTTTAAAAGGGCAGTGGAGAACTTCCATTTAAAAATGGAAATCACCCCCATTCATTTATATACTTCTTTAAGCCCCACAAAATGACAATGGAATTAAAAGGTGGAAGTTTATAAAAATAAAGAGAATAGGAGCTTAGATATATCAGTTAAACGTTTGCACAAGAAAAGCAGATAGATGAGTAGTTAACTACTCTTTCCAAATGGAGAAGGCTTTAACCGGAGCCTGTAAGAGAGAAGCCAGAAGACCTAGAGCATTTCAGAAATTGGAGATACACGGGAGCTCTGAGGTGCGGTGAGGAGCAGAGCTGAGAGCAGTAGGAATGGTTGAAAAAGCAGGAGCACCACCCCCACCACCACCACTATCATACTATCATCACCAACCATCCCCACCACCACCATCTCCACCATGACCATCAACGCCATTGCTACTGCCATCACCATCACCACCTCCACTACCACCACCACTCCTTCCCCCAACCACCGAATTCAGACAGAGGCCCCTCCTCTATCACAAATAAAATATGGAATGCTTTTCTTTCTGGAGGAGAAGATGAACCAGAGAGACACTAGGTATCGCTCAGGATAGGGCCAAAAGTCTTTGTCTCATAGGGGAATTTAATGAGTTTTATATTTACCCATGAGAACCACACTGACAGCCAGGGAAATGGCCCCCAGGCAGGAAACAGGAGACCTCCTTTCTGAGCAGACTAAGAATAAAATCAATTCACTGCTCTTTCACTCAGTAGTGAAGTTCACCGCTCAGCAAGCCCCATTCACCAGCTTCCAGACTGGCTTTTCAGCTCTTAAATATGAACACCAACCAAAGCCAGCAGACAACTGGACAAAACACTGGGGACAGAGCAGAGAAAAGGAACCCAAAGGTGACAGAGACAATGCTGAGCAGAAAACACTGCCAAGGAACAATAAGAACCACAGAAATATTCTCAGAAAGAGAAGAGTGGCTATTACACACCTAAGGTAAGAATAAAAGACGATTGGAGCCCCAGGTGGTGTAGTGGTAAAGGCCCTGGACTCCCACATGTATGACTGTAGTTTGAGTCCTGGATCTGGCAGATTAAGACACATTGGGCACATGGGTGTGCATGCCCAGAATCTCAGGAGGAGAATGGAAGAAAAGGGATTGCATCATGGCCATGCCCCCTGGTGATTTCTACATACTTTCTCTCTCACTATCTCTGTCTATCTGTCTCTCCAGGGAGTGCGCATGCCCTATGGCAACAACCTTAAAAAGAAAAAAAGAGGCTATGAAAATGAAAGGTTGGGGCCAGCAGGTGATGTGGTAGTTAAAGTGCTGGACTCTCACATGGCCGACTGAGGTTTGGGACCCAGATCCGGTGTCTTGGGAATCACGCTGGGTGCATGTGCATGCGTGTCCAAAATCCTGAGACAAGAATGGAGAAGGGATTGCAGCATGGCCATCCCCCCAGGGGCTGATCTCTCACTTTCCCTCTCTCTCTCTCTTTTTTTCTTGGAGAGGTTTTTTTCTATAGGGTGTGTGCACTCACCAGAAAGACAGGGAGAGATAGTGAGAAGTCACCTCCCAGGGGGGATGGCCACACTGCAGTCCCTTCTCCTCCATTCTCCTCTTGGGATCTTGGGCATGCACACATGTCCAGCATGAGTTTAAGCCACCAGGTCCAGGACTGAAACCGCAGTCAACTACATGGGAGTCCAGCGACATAGCCATTATACCAACTGCTGGTCCCTCTCTCTTTTTCTGTCTCCCTCTGGTGAGTACCTGGACCCTATAGCAAAAACCTTAATAAATAATAATCATAAATGATATTAAAAATCAAAAAGTAAAAGGTCAGAGAGTAAGAGCACTTATGAAAAGAGAGAGTGAAACAGGAATTCTAAAGATCTTTGCCCCTGAGAGTGAAGAGAGGGTAGCAAAATGAAAATTCAGATTCGGGCAGCAGAAAACTGAGTCCTTGTCAATCTGGCAAAGACACATTTGAAAACAAGTTATGCCCTAATATGTGCTGTACATTTACTCTCCACAAAGAGTCCTGCTAGAACAGTATCCTCACTTTATCCTAGGCATTATTCACTTTATGCATAGACTCTCTAAAAGGTACGGTTTTAGTCTAAGCCATGGAGACAAGTCAGCTTTGTGAAATGGCCACATTTCAGTGGTTCGGCCTAACGTATGGCCCAAGTAGCACTGCAACTTTCTTGGCCAAAATACCAAGTGTTAAAAGATAAGTCATGTCCAGGGGCTTGGACATGCTGTTTTCACATTATCCTTGACTCTAAAGGAGAGCACGTGTGGTTTTAGAGCAGTTTGTGGAGCCCCCTTTCCTGGTGTGCTGTGGCCACTTTGCAGTAAAACCATAGCATTAGTGGAATGAGAGAGCATGCGTGTTCTAGATGGAGAAATAGGATTATTGTACCATCCAAAGTTGCAAAGAGCCAGAGCATTGCGTTTTGGCAGGAGTGTGAGTTGCTGGGTCTTTTGTAGTCTGACTCTATGTAGAGGTAGCCCTTAACGGACAGCGGAACTCCCCAGTTCCAGGCACCAAAGGACTTCACTTTCTTAGGACTACCTTGTAAATTTTCTCCCGCTCTCTTGGAAGAAACCTCTGAAGGGTGGAAACAGACATACCTTCATTGGTCACTCACCTTAAAGAGTAAGTCCTCCCTAGACACTTACATGACCAAGAATATCCTCAGCTCCATAATTAAAATTTCCAGCCTGGGTAATTGAAGAAACTCCAAAGTTTATTTAAAGTGAAGGCATGTCCCTTCCCCACAGTTGGGACTGGCTGGGGGCTGGGGTATAAAAGGAGGGTCCTCTTTCTCTTTTGCTTTCTAGGACTCCCCTGGCTCCTTTGGGTAATATGGAGAGAGCCAACCTCCCTGGTAACCATGGATCCAGGCAGAGGTTTAAACCTGACCCTGTCTCCTTGGTGCTCCGTGGGTTCTTGGAAATCTTTGTCACTGGGGGTCTCCTAGCTGTGATTTCTGTAGGGGGCACTTGTGTCTGCGGCTGACTTGTGTACCAGTCCCACCTCCGCCTTCCTCTGTAGACTCCTCTTTGGGATCACTGCCCTGGGTAGTGTGGGCAGCCTCCAGCCAGATGTGCCCTCTGCTTGCTCCGTAGACCAAAGAAAATGGTCACGCATCCTCCGCCCAGTCACCGCCGAGTGTTAGTCATTCTCTCTGGCTGCCCGCCTCTCCTGCCCGGCTGAACAGGTGTCTGGCCCAGCTTCTTGCCCACAGACCTCTTGGACAGGGGTGATAACCAGGCCTATGTCTCCCCCCAGACTCCAGAAACACAGGCCAGGCTCTCCAAGTGTCCTCTGACGATCTCCAGCCACAGCTGAAGGCGAGAAGAAAGTGCGCCCAGCAGTCTTGAGGGGGCCACTAGAGAAATGCTGCAGCGTTTCAACACCTTTGTCCAAGGAGATCTTCCATCTCCGTCCGTTCGGCCTCAACTCTTTTGTATCCTAAGAGGGCACTGCTCAGGGTTGGAAAAGTGGATTTTGTCCCCCACCTCGGTAACTCCCACAGAGATGGGGTCGCCCCTTTTTAGGACAGGGCAGAGAAAATGCTGCCTACTGCTTAATCTCAGCTCCTCGGGAATCTGCAAAATGACCGTGGGCAGGTCGCACAGCGGTCTGTCGGTGCGCGGACTCAATGTGTGTGACAGGAGAGAGAACGTGTCTATGCGGTCTGCACCTATTCAAGCCTGCGGGGAGTACGAGGGACTGGGACGTGTGTATAGAGATGCACACCTGCCCGTGTGGTGTGCGCACATGACCGCTGCAGGTGCACATGTGTGTGTGCATGAACGTGTGCGCATGCGTGTGGGCCTGTCCTTGTGCTGTGTGTGAACGTACAGGGCCCCTCTGCAAATCCCAAGCCATTGGTTTCCCCGGGGCTGCCCTTGCTCTGATATACAAGCCCCTGGGCTACCTTGCAGGCCTCTCCAGTCAGTCTGAACAGAAGGCACCTGAGGCAGAGCTTGGGCCCTCAGCACCGGGGAGTGAGAGGTACCCGCTCTCTGGGGTATGGGTGAAGTGGCAGAAGGGAGGAAAAGGGATTCCAGCCGCCCTTAAGCTGGGCAAGGCATTCACCTTCCCCCCTCCCCACCGAGTAGCAAGGAACACAGACTTGATTTTGCCTTAAAGTAAAAAGTGTCTCTTGTTTTGCCTCTGAACTGAATGCAAGGGGAAGAGGGAGAGAGAGTCCTGCCCAGCTGACCCCATTTGTGACCCCAGGTTGTTTGCCCCACATCTTTGCAAGGAGCCACATGAGCAGCCTACGTGGGCCTGAGCACCTGCCACATGACAGGCCCTTCTCATGTGTGGCGTGACGGAGCAGTCTGAGCGCTCGTGTGTGTGCACGTGTGCATTCAGGTCGGGGGAATCGAGTGTGTGAATGAATGTTACTGGAATGTCTTTCTGGAGTGCCAGGGCCTGTTTCCATGGCAACGCACAGAGAAAGCCCAGGCATCAGCGAAGTGCTGCCAGGTGCCAGGGCCAGGGCCAGCTCGCTGCAGCACAGGAAGGAAAACCCCACTCACACGGGGAGCCTGGGAGGCTCGTTCTCTGTCATAAAGACTTTGCCGTTCATTCCTCTCTGTGTGACCAGCGAGCTCGGCCTCCTGGGGATAAGCATTTGTATCTTGGCCTTTTTGTTAAAGATTCTGGAGCCCACCCCAGCGCCCTGGACAAACAGCATCCCTGTTAGCAAAGGCGCCAGCTGGAGGGACAGCTCTGGAGATGGCTGCAGAAATGGAGAGAAGCCCAGCTCTCCAGGGTGGGCCAGGCCCTCAGGTTACCCAGGAAACCTGCCGAGAGGCTGCTGCACCAGCGATGCCCTTGCCTCTGGGGAAGGCGCAGCCCAGCGAGGCTCAGCCGGGCACGGGCTCAGGAATCCCTGTGGGCCGTGGCCTCTGTGAGACAGGCACAGACAGCCCAGACATGCAAAGGGGCACTGGAGCCTGCTGTGGACAGCTACACACCCGCCGACAGGGAAACCGAGCCAAGGTGGGGGAGTTCTGGGACGGGCTTCTGCATCCATTTATTAACCCACTGGCTCGCTGGACACACCTCCACTGCACACCCACCATGTGCTTGACGCTGGGCTCTTAAACAGTAGCTCATGATTCAGGCAAAATCCTTGCCCCCATAGAGCTGACATTCCAGGGGGCAATTGACAATGGAGAAGATCAGCAAGTGGGGGGTGTAGTGTGTGACACAGAGACAGACAACCACAGAGGGGGTGCAGGATCGGGAGGGACATTACTCCTTATGAAAGAGACAGTGAGGCCACTCTAATAAGACCTTCTAAAAGATATCTGGGAAGGTGGAGAGGAAAGTCACATCGGCAGAATGAGGGTTCCAGAAGAGGGGGTGCAAAGGTCCTGGGGCAGGAGCCTGCTAAGCATATTCACAGAACTGCAGGAAGACCAGAGAGGCTGAGCAGGGTGGGCGAGTGGGAGGGTGGTAGGACCTACAGTCACACCGCCAAACCGTGTGGGCCCTGTGGGCGTGTAAGGACTTCGCTCTCGCCCCGAGTGAAAGAAGAGGACACTGGGGGCTTTGATTAGAGAAAGGACGTAATCTTACTTGCGCTTTTAAATAATTTCTCTTGTTGCTATTCGAAGACTGAGTTGTTGAGGGAGGTTCGAGATGGAATGAGGGGAGATCTAAGATCCCAGCCAGTGGCGACCACTGTTCTACTCTGTCTCTATGAGTGTGACAGGACACCGCACTTAAATGTAATTAGACAATGATTGCCCTTTGGTGCCGCCTTTCACTTAGCACGACGCCTTCAAGGCTCATACATGTAGCGTCGGTCAGAATTTCCTTCCTTTTTAGGGCTGAATGCTATTCCATGGCAGGTCCACACCACATTTCACTGTGTCATTCACCCACCGATGGACACTTGGGCGGCCTGTCTCTTGGCTGTTGTGGATAGCACTACCAGGAACCCGGCGTGCCAATAGCTCCTCTGCTTCCAGTTCCCTGGGGAATACACTGTCCATAGCACGGTGATGGCCGAGGGGGCGGCCGTCTCACCTAAACGGAACACATCTGGCAGAGAACACAGGCACCACTGCCAACTGCAGTTGTTCTGAGCACCACACGTGGAGACCAGGGTGTTAAGGGAGGTGGGAGTCAGCTCTGTGACCTGAAAGAGGGAGGAACAGTAAAGAATAACCAGTCCTGCCCGAAGGTGCTCACAGAGTATTAACAGAAACCAGTCTTATTAATCAAAGGTACTTAAACGGATGGTGTTAATATGTTCAGAGAAGATGGAATAAACGCCTTAGAACTATAATGGCGAAATGATGATAATGACAACTGGTTTTTTTTGTTTTGTTTTGTTTTGAGAGATTTTCACTGTAGGACACGTGCGCTCGCCAGACAGACAGAGACATAGAGACAGAAAGCGAGAAATCACCCCCCAGGGGAGATGGTCACACCGCAATCCCTTCTCCTCCATTCTCCTCTCGGGATCCTGGGCATGCACGCACACGCGCCCGGCGTGAGTTTTAAGCCACCGGGTCCGGGACACGAACCGCGGTCGACTACGTGGGAGTCCAGCGACATAGCCATTACGCTAACTGCTGGTTCCCAATGACGACTGTTTTTGATTGCATGTTTACCCTGAGCCAGACACTGTCTTATTCTCCTTTTCCAGATGAGGACACTGAGGCTGAGGGGTGAGCTCCTTCGCCCAAGGTGTGTAGCTGGCAAGAGTTTGGGGTTAAGCCAGCTCTGCCTGTCTCTCAGGCTGAAACTTTTGTAAGGCACTGCCCCACCCGCCCTTGACCCTGCCCTCAGATTCCTGCACCTTCCTGGTCAGCTGAATGAATCAGGCCAAGGGCCAAGGGGTGGCCTGGGCCACACCCCATCCCCACAGTGCAGACCTGTGTCACTGACACAGGCACCAGCGGATTTCAACACTCTGCTTTCCTCATCTTCCTTTCCCAGCACGTGAGCTCTGGGCCAGGGAGCAGGCTGAGATGGCGGCCGACCTCGCCTCCAGCCTGGACTGTCACCGTCGCCTCCCCTCGGCTCCCTGGGCACCCTGTCTCCCCGGCAGTATGGTCCCACACAGCAGCCGGAGCCAGCTTTGACAAGTGTCAGTCCGATGGCTGTGCCCACAGCTACAATCACTGTAGTTCCCACTCTCCTAGAGTCAAAGTCAGGCTCTCCGCCCTGGACACCCGGGTCCCGCCCACCGCGCTCCCACCTGGCCTCCGTCCGCCAATGTCCTTCCTGTGAAGGCTGACCTCCGCGCCACTGTCTGGAGGTGCCACATCTCATTTATTCCCTTTCCCGTCTATGCACATCTGGGTTCTCACTTCCGGCTGCCGCGAACAGGGCTGCCATGGCCGTGCCCGAGCAGGCATCTGCTCTGAGCCCTGCTTTCCATCCTGGGGATGACACAGCCTCTCGTGCTGTCTCTGTGACACGGCATTACCTCAGATCGCTTGGCGTGTTCCTGTTTGCTCACGTGTTTTCCGTCTCTCTCCTGTGACCTCCTGGGACACGGGAACCTTGCCTGTTTAGTACACGATGGCTATTACCATCACAGTCGGGTTCCTCGGAGGAGCTCGCTGAACGGGAACGAGTGAATGAATGAATGATACTGCACACGGGCCAGCCTGTGGGCACAAGTCATCTCTACTTCTAAATGACCTGTCTGAAACACCGAGATGAACATGGGCATTCCCTCACATTGCTTAAATGCTCTTTATCGGATTTAATAATAAGCTTCACAAAGGTAATGTGGGCACCAGAGGCTGTGGACATGGAAGGTCGACCATGCGGCCAGAACTTGGAGAGCAGGGTAGAGTGAAGGAGAAAGCAGAAGAGTCCCGCCAATCTGGCAGGCCTTACATCAGATGAAGGGAAGGCTGCCTCCCCTGAAGTACTAGTCCCATTTCTAGCCCTTTCCTTTGCCTGGCCCTGAGCTCCTGGGACTGCTATGAGGAGGAAAAGCATTTCAGGAGAGAAAGCAGCCTCACACCTTGGTGAGACACACAATATCTCTGTGTAGCGAGTTCAGGAAGAGAGGCCTGTGCTGGCTGCTTTGCTCTCCTGGGCCAGCACTGATGGTGTGACCTGGCCTCTCTGCTATCCTGCCAAGGGCCAATCTCCTGTCTACCCTGTGCCTGCCCCCTTGCAGGTGTACGTGTGTGTGTGCCCATGTGTGTGTGTGCACGCACATTAAGAGAGTGTGTCTCTGTATAAATGTATACGTGAGTATGTGCCTATGGATATGGTATGAAAGTGTGTGTGTCCACTTCACTGCATGCTCTCTGGACTTTGACCTGGAGGAGAATGGAGGAAAGGGATTGTGGTATAACCATCCCCCCTGGGCGGGGGGTGATTTCTTGCCTTCTGTCTTTCTGTCTCTCTGGTGGGCACACATATGCACCTTGTAGCTAAAAATATCTCTCTTAAAAAAAAATTTAAAAAGAAGAAGAAAGAAACACTCTGTAGCAAAGTGTCAGAGGCTTATTGCTTCTACTCTCACTCTTCCTTCCTGGAGTGCAAACAGGTACCTAGAAAGTGCTCGGTGACAGGCTGCCTCCCTGGCTCCTGTATTTTAAAGGCCTGACCTTGGGATGAGTACGCTGTAGGGAAGAGGTAGTGAGCCAAGTGCCTGCAGGTGCAACGAGACAGAGACGGAGGCTGACAGTGTCCACTGCAGGGGGCTGAGTGGCTCATCTAACTCTGGAAGGCCAGGCTCTGACCCAGCACTACAGACAGGCCTCTCTACAGGAGCCCATGCAGGAGGGACGGGAGAGCAACAGCAGGAAGCATGGCTCCAGCAAGGCTTCCAGACAGCCAAGACTGGAGACCATTTCAGATGGGAGCCTCCCAGAGAGTGTGCTGCCCTGGTGAAGAGGGCTCCCTCGTACCCCATGAACCGCTGAGAGAATTTCCAGCCACCTCGGCAAGACTGTGGACTCAGGGTCGGATGTAATTAGACTTTAAGGAAGTAAACTTAAGTAACATTTCTTACACAGTCAAGGCTATGGAGTAGCATTCAGACCTTCAGACACGTATTAGCAGGACATTGTCATCACACTGGGGACTGTTTGATTGCGAGGAACAGCCTCTAACTCAGAAAAGTTCCCATGAGAGGGAACTGGCCCTCAGGATGCAAAGCCAACCCACAGACTCAGGCTGCAGACAAAGCACTGCGCTGCAGGGGAGACAGGCCACTCACTGTCTCTGTGGGGCTCCAGGGTCCCTGCCCCACTTCTCTCTGATCGCAGGCTCCATTCCCCTCTCTGCAGGTCTCCCTTCCTGCTTCTCCCCCAAGCCCCCAGCAGAGATTCTAGTGAGCAGCGCGCAGTTCCATCCAGCCCTCCACCACCTCCCAGGAGGCAGGAGTGCAGCGATACGACGTCACATCCAGTCTAGGGGCTATTGTTACTGCAGGTGCCGATGGGGTCACATTGTAGCCAAACTGCAGCCGTGGGGACAATTTACACATCCGCACCCCTCCTTTCCCCACCCTTCTGTCTTTCTGTCTCTCTGGTGGGCACACATATGCACCTTGTAGCTAAAAATATCTCTCTTAAAAAAAAATTTAAAAAGAAGAAGAAAGAAACACTCTGTAGCAAAGTGTCAGAGGCTTATTGCTTCTACTCTCACTCTTCCTTCCTGGAGTGCAAACAGGTACCTAGAAAGTGCTCGGTGACAGGCTGCCTCCCTGGCTCCTGTATTTTAAAGGCCTGACCTTGGGATGAGTACGCTGTAGGGAAGAGGTAGTGAGCCAAGTGCCTGCAGGTGCAACGAGACAGAGACGGAGGCTGACAGTGTCCACTGCAGGGGGCTGAGTGGCTCATCTAACTCTGGAAGGCCAGGCTCTGACCCAGCACTACAGACAGGCCTCTCTACAGGAGCCCATGCAGGAGGGACGGGAGAGCAACAGCAGGAAGCATGGCTCCAGCAAGGCTTCCAGACAGCCAAGACTGGAGACCATTTCAGATGGGAGCCTCCCAGAGAGTGTGCTGCCCTGGTGAAGAGGGCTCCCTCGTACCCCATGAACCGCTGAGAGAATTTCCAGCCACCTCGGCAAGACTGTGGACTCAGGGTCGGATGTAATTAGACTTTAAGGAAGTAAACTTAAGTAACATTTCTTACACAGTCAAGGCTATGGAGTAGCATTCAGACCTTCAGACACGTATTAGCAGGACATTGTCATCACACTGGGGACTGTTTGATTGCGAGGAACAGCCTCTAACTCAGAAAAGTTCCCATGAGAGGGAACTGGCCCTCAGGATGCAAAGCCAACCCACAGACTCAGGCTGCAGACAAAGCACTGCGCTGCAGGGGAGACAGGCCACTCACTGTCTCTGTGGGGCTCCAGGGTCCCTGCCCCACTTCTCTCTGATCGCAGGCTCCATTCCCCTCTCTGCAGGTCTCCCTTCCTGCTTCTCCCCCAAGCCCCCAGCAGAGATTCTAGTGAGCAGCGCGCAGTTCCATCCAGCCCTCCACCACCTCCCAGGAGGCAGGAGTGCAGCGATACGACGTCACATCCAGTCTAGGGGCTATTGTTACTGCAGGTGCCGATGGGGTCACATTGTAGCCAAACTGCAGCCGTGGGGACAATTTACACATCCGCACCCCTCCTTTCCCCACTCAATCTATCCTGAGTGTCCGTGTTCTCCATAAGAGGCACACCCTGAAGACCTCGAGCGACAGACTAACGGCAGATGTAAGCTCTTGCAGTATCAGGGGAAAGCCCCTGTTGGCTCTACTTTTTAAATTCTTCATTGGTCATGGGACCAGCAGTTAGCGTAATGGCTATGTTGCTGACTCCCATGTAGCCGACTGCAGTTCAAGTCCCAGACCCAGTGGCTTAAACTCACACCAGGCGAGTGTGCATGTGTGCCCAAGATCCTGAGAGGAGAATGAAGAAGGGATTGTGGGGTGGCCACCCCTCTGGGGGGTGATTTTTTGCTTTCTATCTCTCTGTCTTTCTGGTGAGCGCACACACCCTATAGCAAAAGCTTCTCAAAAAA